GACTAGATTTTTCAATTTCAATATGCAGCAAAAGAAAAAACATTCTTCTGCAGGGCATAGAATATTAAACCCACTCCAGGAAGAATATGCTACTTGTTATAGGATAACACTGATATGCCTCCCACTTGATAGAGGAGGCATGAGTCAAAGGTTTGATGACCTATATAGAGCTATTTAATTTAATCCCTATTTTACTAATTAATTTGGGATTTTGAGGAGTTCATAAAAATCTTAGTTCATAAGACAACATCTCAAAATTACAGTGTGTCCAGACCATAAATTGCAATATGCTGTCCTTCATTGTTTTTTTCTTATCACTCAAACCACTGCAAATTAGTGCGCTGAAGGCATCAGAATGTGAAGGCATATTGACTTGCTTGTCATCAATATTACTTTTATTGTGGCTTCCTCCCCCATCAAGGAAAAATGGTTTGTATAACTGATCATTTATATGGGGATTCATAAAGTTGAGGTTCTATTGTAGCTTCCTATAACTGTTACAGGCCCATCCAAAGAGCAGCCAGGCATGTGGCACTCTGAAATGTTCTGAAGTTCATTCTGACTTTGGTGTCCCTTCGGATACTTATCATTCCTAAACAGTCATCCACCTGCTTGTTGTACAACATTAATCTAAGAATAGAAAAAAGATAATAGAGCAGAGAAAGAAAAATAAACACTGATAGAGGTGACTTGGGTTTGCTTTAGTTCTCAGATAACTCAAAAAATTTTAATGGTTGGTTAAAGCAGGGACCTGGGAACTAGAAATCCTGAATTTATCTTGGTATAAGGTCTTCCTCCAGAAGATTAAATGACACAATGTGGTCCTTAATCTCTGTTCCCCAATTTTCCCTATCTTTAAAATGAGTATACTGAGATATACTTACCTCATAGGAAATGTTAGAATTAAATGTTTTCATAACATTTTGAGACTCTTGGATAAAAGGTGACAGAGAAGGGGGAAACTATTATTTAATGTAAGTAACTTTATCATGATTACATACAGTCCATGGGTTACGCGGATCGGACATACGTCGGATCCGTACTTATGAACGGGGCTTTTCTCGCCCCGGAGGACGGGGGCGGTGGGACCGCCCAGACGCGCTGCGGTCCCGCCGCCCACGTCCTCCGCGGTGAGAAAAGCTGCTGTATGGCCAACTCTCTAGGGAAGAAAGGAAAGGGGGAAGCTAGAAGAAATGCTTTAAAGACGCCCTTGAGATAAACATCAAGAGATGTGGCATTGACACCCCACACTGGGAGACAGCAGCCTAGGATAGGGAAGACGTGTCAGAGTGCGACTGTCCACTTTTGAGAAAAACCACCTTGTCCTGATTGAAGGAAGGAAAGACAGCTCTTTTACAGCAATTGTGGCCCAACCCTGTCTTCCAAAACCACCTGTGCAACATCTGTCAATGAGCCGGTGGCTCAAGGGTTGGACCCATCGGTCACCTAAGGCTGCCCAGCCCCAGCTCTGTGGAGCAGGTCTAGCACCACCCCCACCTGGAGCAGGAGACAAGAGCTAGGGACACATGCGTGTGTGTGCGCATGTGCACCTCTTCTCCCTCCTCTTCTCTCCTCCCAGCCAGCAAGTTAACAAGAGGGGCAGG